AGCGCGGCGGGAAATGGCGGCCCCTGGCGCGCCGGCCGCGGCCTCGCTGCCCGGAAGCGGCGAGCGCGGCCCCAACCGTCGCAACGGTCCCAACGGCCCTGGCTGCCCTCGTAACGGCCCGAAACGGCCGCCGGCGACCTGAGTGCGTTCATGCGCGGGGCTTGGCCTCCACACATGGCGCTGCCCGCCCTTAAAGTTCGGCCGCGAGCGCCTCTTCCCCCCGGTTGATGATACTTTAATATTATTTTGGTTTGAATCTGGAGGCTTCAGGTAAAAACGCGCGCTCGTATCCGTCCGTGTTTTGGTAGGTTGCGTTGAACCAAAGTCACGGGATTAGATCCGGTGTGCGGATCTAATCCGGTGTGTGGAAACSGCCCCCGTGGTTAGTTTACCTGTCCGTGTTTGAAATACCTGAGGGAACAGCTTTTATTTTTATAGATAAACTAAAGGTACTATACAGTTACATTTTGGRAAAAAAAAAAGTAAATTCCAAAGTGAAAGGGGTTTAGAACAGAATGCCTTTTATTTAAAATTTTTAGAAATAAACTTGGGAGAAGAAATGTGCATTTCTGTGGAACAAACAACCTTTAGGTTTCTCTGAGTTGCTAARCTAAGGAAGGGAAGGGACATTTCCTTTCCTTGCAGCACCTCYGGGGGATTTCTGGGTTGTGTGTTGGTGAACCCAAGTATAGCCTGCTCAAAAACTCCTCTGTGCATACTGAAATATATATCCATTACATTTAGGGCATTCGYTAGTAAATGTCAGTATGATTTCTTACAGCTTGCCTAAATTTTCTGAAGCTCTGCAAAATCAAGTATTACAACTATTGCCTTATTTATAATGTACAGGTGAGTGTTTAATGTCACATATTCATTGTGTTTATATATATGTGGTTTTAGCCTATATACAAGAAATCAATATTTTGTGTATTCTGCTTTATGATAGAAAGATTTTATTATACAAACCGGTGACCCCATGGGAACTGGCCGTGGAGGGGAGTCTGTGTTTTGGTGAGTAAAACATGTTTATTTTATGTGATTGACAGAGAAGTCATGTAGGAGAATAAGACCTCCACTTTGATTTCAGTTTTCGGCTTTTTTTTCTCTTCAGAATTACTGATAWGGAGTAAAAATGTTGATACAAGAGCTTCTTTAGCTTCTCTAGTTATATGCCTTTGTAATTCTGATGTGGTCTTCTGTAGTCACAGTTTAGGGGGAAGAGAAGCACTATGCTATGTCTGACCTTGGAAGTGGAAGTTTAAGCGGTGGTACATTGACTTACCTTTCCTGACAGATGATCAAATTTCCATAGGTTTGGCTTTGTAAGATGAATGTCTCAGCTGACTGCTTTGTGGAAGGCCAAATCATTCTCTGCTATTATCTCTACTATTACTTCTGTGTGTGGTGGGGTTTTTTTTTTTGCTAGTCACAAAATGTATTTATTTGTGGGGGAAAGAAACATAGAAGCTATGCTAAAATTCCAGTGTGTAAGAAAATAATCCTGTTAGCCTGGATATTTACTCGAGTTCCTTTTATCAAGCACTAAGAGATGAGTAGCTCCCTTTGAGCACTCGCCTAAGTCGGGTGTGGGAGAACATGTGAAAGGCAGAACCTTGAACACACAGAACTGTGGTGAGTCTGGAAGCAGTTTAGTTCTGCTAAAAACTGGTGCAAGACTCCATAAGGAAACCTGCTAGGCCTGGCCTGAGCTGTCTCTGCACAAGGGGTAGCTCAAGTTTATTTTCGTTTCTGATACAGGGATAGTTTTGATCACCATCTGAGGCTCTTCGGTATGGTAGGCAAGGAAATGAAGTGTTCCAGAAGAGTGGCAGATTCTTTTCTGCTGCAGGATGGAGAATGACAGTGTGCCTTTTCTGCCTGTCAGTTACTGCTGAATTTGGTACAATTGAGATTTCCATTCTTGATACACTGACAGCTGATGTAGGCAAACTTTGATTTGAATTCTCTCTTCATAGTTGCCTACACATGTTTAGTAAAGTGGTTTAAAAATAACACTGTTCTTTAAATACGGACAAATGCACGTGTTGATCACGGAGTGAGACAAAATGAATGAGCTCAGGATCAGACTTCAAGAATTAAAAGCAAATTAACAAATTGTCTTATTCTGTATATTTTAAATTACTGTGTGCAGCCTTGTACACATGATGAACTTGGTATGCATAGAGATTTAGTGCTTTTCAGTTAGTTTTCAGAGATGCTTGCAGCATAAGTTATTTCTTTTACAGTGTAGATTTATTTCAGCAGAACCTTCTCATCAAAATACCTATTAGCCTCTTGTTTTAAAAAACTTAGTTATGTACTATGCTTTTTTTAAAAAAGGCACACACACAAAAACCTCTTCAAAATGCCTCAGAGGAAAATCTGGTTTTGTTTGTAATATAAGGTATTTAAATGTACTAGTCCAAATGTGTATGAATGCACTATAAGTTCTGTTTTTACTCCAGTACCAATTTCATATATATTTTTTTAATGTTTTGTTTACTGTTTTACAGCACTTGTTAAGTTTCTTTTGCTTTGCCTTTTAACATATTTATTATGTGTGTTTTCAGTAAACTATATGGTGACCAAGCTAGATTTTTTGAGGCGGAAAAAGTGCCAAGAATCAAGCACAAGAAAAAGGGAACCGTGTCCATGGTGAACAATGGCAATGATGAGCATGGATCACAGGTCAGCATACACTATTGGAAGTACAAATATGAACAACTAAAATGGAAACTCTGCAGATTTAAAGAAGAGACCTAGCAGTGACAGTGTCATCTCAAAAGCATCAGCGCAGGTTGTGCTCCCAGGCCTGTACAGAGAAGGCTGTAGATGAGCAGTTTACGTAGTGTTCCAAGTACCAATGAGTGTTTGATGATTGACACGAGAAAGGTCAAAAAGCTCACGTTAAAATCCCATCCTAGATTTTATAAATTGTTAGAATTCTTCCATCTTTATTTTTTTCCTTTCTTCATTTATTTTTGCTGACATCTTGATGTCTTTTTGTGCTCATCTCTGGAGTAAGCAGGAAAAAATACTCCTAGTTAAGTGAAAATGAACCATAGAGAAATCGTTTGTGTTTTTAAAGTCATCCTAAAATTCTCTCACTGTCTTATCATGTCCCTGTGGATACTGAAATTGTAGCCCATCATTTCCTGTATGATTCCATAAAAACATGCATTGATTGGTACAGTGCAAGTTTACAGTTTTATTCCTTTACTGTTACAGAATAATTTTTGAGTATTGTTCTCTTGCATCAGGTGATACAGTCTTTACTCTAGGTGCATTTAAAGCTGATAATGTCATATAACGATATTATATCATACCACTTATAAGTCCTGAATTTTACTAATTTGCTCTTCTTGGTTTTGTATCTTCTATTTTAGTTTCTTATTACTACCGGGGAAAACCTGGATTATCTTGACGGTGTGCATACAGTGTTTGGAGAGGTCACAGAAGGCATGGATGTATTGAAGACAATTAATGAAGCCTTTGTGGATAAGGACTTTTTCCCATATCAAGATATCAGGTATGACTGCATTAAATTTCTCCTTTTGAAGGCATATTAYGACTTGACAAGTTAATCACCTTGGAAGCTGCATTGATATAGCAGTGCCAGATGACTAGCACACATTTTCTGTTATGGAGAGTTAGATGGAAACAAAATGGGTGAAATTATTACCTTATATTTTATTAGATTATGTAGTAGTTTAGAAACAGATACATACAAACAAACACCTAATAAAAGGTAGCCTTTTATCCCATAGAAGTCTTTGTATGCATATAGGCTTTCCAGAAGCCTTAGTATTTACAGGCATGMAGTGTGTTTGGCCGTGTGGGGTGTGACTGAGGATTAGCAGAGCTGGTTTGCTGTTCATTGGGTAAAAGAGWGTTTTGTCTGTGCATGTCTAATGACTGGTCCTCATTCTGCTTTCTRTTAGGATAACGCATACAGTAATTTTAGATGATCCGTTTGAAGATCCACCTGGCTTRTCTATTCCTGATCGTTCACCAGAACCTACCAAGGAACAGCTGGATGTGAGTGGTTTTCATAGCTGCTAGGAGAAACGTTAGCAAAAAGGTCCTTCTCGATGGCCATCATAGACTTAATTCTTCATCATTGTCCTTAATTCTTCATCATTGAAACCTGTGTTCTAAAAGAATTCTACGTTTTTAGTGTATGAGGATAGGTGATACATACCTATTATACCCATTTGTGTTCTGATATGTTAAATATTATTTGGGGCTATTACTGTTTTTAATTAAATAGAATTGTTCAATCTCTGAGGAAAAGGATTAATAAAAAGGCTTGGSTGCTATCCCCTGTTACTGCGGTGCTGTAAGTTTGGAAAGCCATATTCTGCTGTTCTAACTTGCAGAACAGTAAAGCTGTCATTCATTATATTCACCTTTTGGCAGTACTTTTTTGTTTGTTTGGTTTTGTATGTTTTTCTGGAAGAATCCAAATGCTACTGTATTTTAATATAAATTTTGTTTCTTGGTATTTCTCTTTTAAATGACAAACACTCGGTGTTTCAGTGCAAGTAATTCTTTGAGTTACATCCACAAGAATACGTACTGTTGTGGGTAATCTGTTCAGTCAGGAGGAGTTGCTGAAAAACTATTTGTAATTACTGTTAACATACTCATAGTATGCAGTTGTGGAAGTGTGAAATTATCTCCTTGTATGAGAACAGCTGTTTGAAGCAATGAATAGGCTGAGTAGAGACAGCATTGTTCTTTGTTTAATTTAATAGATAATTATTTAAAGATTGCCATCAGCCTTTCTTGTTGCATCTGCACTCTGCTTAATGTACCCCAAGACCCATTAAATATGTAAGGAATGTAATAACTCACTGCCAACTGGACAAACATTGGAATATTTTAYATTTATTCTCTTCCCCGCCCCCTCCTTGTCTGGGGATACGGCTTTTGGTGTAGAAATATTTGTAAGTAAGGGAGCACTGTGGAGATGCTGAGGAGGAGAAAGACTTAACCCTGAAACACTGCCAGGATGAATGTGTGTAAAAATAAGATTTAGACATTAAACAGAGTACATAACAACACAAATATTATTAGACATAACAGATTTTTTTTCCCCAATTTTTTAATATTCATTTTTTGAAGGAATTCTCTTAGAAGTGAGTTGGTACTTGTGGTGACATACCAAGTATGAGATGGGAGGGTGAGAAAGAATAACTGGATATAGTTCAAATTGACAGTGCCTGAAACTCGTGAGGATGTTATCTTTTATTTCTCCATTTTAATCTGGGTATAGAAAACATAATAGAAGCCAACTTTTGCAGAGATACAGTGCTTAAGCAATTTTCATGCCTGGGGCAAGGGAAAAGTTAAAGATTTCAAAACTCGGACACATTTTTTGGCTATGACTGAGTTACATTTTTTTTCCTTTATTTTTCCAGAGTGGCAGAATAGGGGCAGATGAAGAAATCGATGACTTAAAAGGACGGACTGCCGATGAAATAGAAGAATTGCAGGCAGAAAAAGAGGCAAAAACTCGTGCCATTCTTCTGGAAATGGTGAACATATCTCTAATCTTTTTACATGTTATTTCTGTGCATATACAAGTATTTGCATRTTGCATATTAAGTTCTAGGAGGATATGTGCTTATGATAAACATTTATCTTGAACTGCTGAAGTCCCAGCTCAGCATTTTCCAAGCCAGCATAGTAGTTCTCTGTAAAGTGTAATCCCAAGGTCAGTCCAGGCTGTGGCCCCAGTACAGAAGAGCTGCGTGTGTGGACACTTGTTCTGCAGCACCAGTTCGCCTTGTGATTTGTTCTCAGGTTAAAGTTAAGCTTAGCTGAAAAGAGAGAGTGGTTTATGTGAGACTTCCATCATTTTCAGTGAATATTGCTGCGTAGTTTGCAGTAGGGAGCAACGCTATGCATAAGCTGGAGAGACTAATAAAAAACCACATACCATTAATTTTGCTGATTAAAACTACTTGTTTCATTGTCTTTTCAAAAGAGGAAACATCTCTGAAAATAGCATGTGCTTAAAAGCCTTTCATATACTCTCTTTCTAGAATGCACTTGTGCTGTTTTGTTTCTTTATACTATTGWACTAATGTATGTTACCTTTTTATTAGCATATTAGACAAAAGATGAGGCAAATTAATATCACTCATTCTTTATTTGGGTTTTGCACAGAAGCGTTCCTGTATCACAGCAGGCCTGCTGTGTATTTGCATTTTCCTCCTAAATGTAGTCTGTTGGTTTGAGGGAGGAAATTTTGTCAGAGAATAAGTTAAAAATTTAGAATAGCTGTTGCCAGGATTGAAGGAAAGAGGAATCTACCTGGAGTAAAGGTAGACACTGAGGAACAAAACCTGGGGAACAGGTGTTTATTTTTAGAGATGTGCATTGCATGAAAATGTGCCAACATTTATGAAGTGTTTTTCCTGACTGTAAAAATTGCTCATCCACCTAAATTTGGTTCATTCTAGTGCCTTTAAAAGAACACCTTAATTTAACCTTTTATTCTAGCCCCTCCCCCCCCCCCCAAATAAAACTAAGCCTTGCAGCAATTAGAACCAAGTATTGTTATTGTATGAACAGGGAAAGTAAGGTACAGAGTATTTGCTACTTCCCTGAAATCAGTGATGGGATTGCAAATAGCTAATCTTATATTAGGTCCCATGGGAAATACCTGTTTTGTGACCTTGGAGTGGGAAGGATATTTTGTGGGKTTTTTTTTTCTGCTATTTGGTGATAGGAATAAGTTATCCAGAAGACATGTTGCARGTGTGTTTGTGGCAACAGAATGTATTAAGCTTTATGCAGAAGTGAAATGATGCCATGTTATGTATATCACAGGTGGGAGACCTGCCAGATGCAGAGATTAAGCCACCTGAAAATGTGCTCTTTGTTTGTAAACTGAATCCTGTGACCACAGATGAGGACCTGGAGATAATATTTTCACGATTTGGTCCCATTAAAAGGTAATTATTTTAACATAAAAATGTAGTCTTTGTTGAAATTGAACTTCATTCCTATTCATTGGTTAGGTGAGGCTGCTGAGCAGCATTCCAGGGTCTCTGGAGAATTATTCCCTGCCTGCATGTGTTCACATGGAGAACACAGCAGTGGTAGCTGAAGTCAGAGCTAGCCAGACCAGTAATGTGTCTGCAGCAGGGGCTGTACGTGAAAGTCTTTATTGATGCAGAGATCTTTCTTCAGCCRTGGCTGTTTAGTTTCCCTGAAAGGTTTTGTTGCAGGAGTTTATTAGAATTGCCAGAGACTGGCAGCAGGCAGCATCGAATTGAACACGTACRTTGTTTTGCTCCCAAAGCACTGACACTTTCATTTTATGCCCCTTTTTCAGCTGTGAAGTGATTCGAGACTGGAAGACTGGTGATTCTCTTTGTTATGCTTTCATTGAGTTTGAAAAGGTACATTTTCAGACATGCTACTGGTTTTAGGAATGYGTGGGATTTAGGAATCTAGATTGTGCTCATAGACGTTCATTTGCAGTTGACTTCCCTAATGAAAGAGCAATGAAATCTTCACACTGTTTTCACTGAGGGACTTAGTCACAGAATTTGTCAGTCCTGAATCAGGTAGATGTCCAAGTCTGACTCTGTTTCACCAAGTAAAACAAGTATGTGCTTAAGTTGTATTGGAATGAGTGGAACAGGTCCATTTTTTTCCTCATAGCATATTACACTTGCAGTGTAATTGATGGTACAAATTCTCTTAATAGGAGGTAGCTTATTGTTTAGGTCTGCTACTCTCTAATCTATGAGGAAAACTGAAAAAAGAGGGAAAGTGTAAGATTATTTTTCATTAACCTACTTATTTATACACTTAAAATTATGCTGTTTTCTCTTGTATTTTTTTTCCCTTGTTTCTGTGCATTTATTTGTCAAATATATACATTATAGCTAGAYTGGAAAATTCTTAAAGTAGTGAAATTAATTGAGGAAACTAAATTGGAAGTGCTTACTTGGGGACAAAATGCAAAGCCTTTTTTTTAAAATGACATAGAAGAAGAACTGCAGTAGTTCAGGCAGTTTTGTGGAATGTGTATTTGAAAACCTACAACCTTCAAACGGTTGGGTTTGAGTTCTTCCTGGAATAATCCTATGAAATACTCATGACTCACAATTTTCTGGGAATGCCAAAATCAGGAGGAAGATTGCGAGAAAGCCTACTTCAAAATGGATAATGTGCTCATAGACGACAGGCGGATACATGTGGATTTTAGCCAGTCTGTGGCAAAGATTAAGTGGAAAGGAAAAGGTAGGTGCATTTGTCATCCTYTGATTCTTTAGCCCTTGTAACTTAATAAGCCACGACTTCTAAATTATGAATGTTATATAAAATGAAGCAATTATTATGAGCTTATATCATCTGTTCCTTAGGAGTATAAATTTTCCTGACAACGTAAAACACCAGAGCAACAAGGTGTTTGTCTTTGCATTTGTTCCATAAAAACAAGGTGTTTGTCTTTGCATTTGTTCCATAAAAAGAGAGTAGAAGAGTTTACTGCTGTTACAATTTCAGTATCTTACTAGGAACTCCTCTTCTACCAGATCTCTTCTAGTTAGTAAGTCATTTGTTCCTGTCTCAAGCTTTAAAACTGATCCTTTTGTATATCATTTACTGTCATATATAACATGGCAATATGTTGTCATTCCTAACTTCTTTTCATTACACACTGACAGATAGATGTATTCCAAAGAAACTGAATATTCAGGCCAGGGATTTCCTGCCCTCATGTCCTGTAGGTCAAGCTTGTTTCTCAGCAGGCTGTATGCTATAAAATGCACTTCCAGATGTTAGAGGATGTTTGGGGAGGAGAAGGAYGATAGGATAGGTGGGTATGTTGTTTATTTGCTTGTTGGGAATGTGAGGAGAACCCTGGACTGGAAGAGGTGGCTGCATGTTCCAGTGGTGCCAAGAATCCTACTGTGTCCTCACCTAGGAATGCAGGCAAGCCTCAATGTGCAGTTTCCTCAGGCCTGTACGAGCCATGGACACTGAGGTGCTGGAGCTTGCCCTGCACAGAGCTGGGCCAACTCTGTCATCTGCGCCATGCTCTGCAGTGCATCCTGTGTGCATCCGTGYACCCACATGGAAAATATTTCTTTATCTGGGGTATCTTAGGCCTGTGTTGTCATAAATTTTGGAAAGCCAACTTTATTGTTGCTTGGTTATGCTTATCTGGCACACAGTTACCTAGGGGAAGTTTTGTTCTTCCCTGTGCAGTAGTGTTCGTTCCCTTCCCAGCTGCTTCACGTTGCGGTGGAACCGTTGCCATTAGATGGCAGCACATTGTTAGGGAATCAAATGATAATCAGTTTGCTCATATTTTCAAGTGAACATATGGAAAATGAAATCTATCATATCCCCTCTTTAAATCAAGACAGGCATTTTTGATAGCTTAGGAGTTCACGTAGAAAACTGTAGCTGACTCAAAAGTTTCCGTTGGTGCAGCCCAGAGCAAAAGTCATTTAATAAAATAATTTGTAGGTGTTCACAGTAACAGATCTCTAAGGAGCCTGACATAGGACCGGCAGTCAAAGTGAGACCAAGCCAGTTGGTGCTGTCTGTGATGCTCCTCATGCTGTGTCTGCACTGGGCGTGAGAGAGGAGTAAATTGTAGCTGCTTTAATGAGACTGCAGTCRGAGAAAGGCTGGTGGCTTTGCCTTTCCTCTTCTCTTGTATCCAGCTGCTAATGCTGTTTTTGGAACCGTATTATTCTGTGAATCTCCCCATGGTTAAGAAGAACCCTTAAATTTATAAGAAAACTTAGTTGCTTTTTGAGTCGGAATGAACTGAATTGATTTTTCTGTGGACAGGTGGGCGGTACACCAAAGAAGATTTCAAAGAGTTTGAAAAGGACCGTGGCAAACCTTCAAAACTTGCTCTGAAAGAGAAGGTAAAGCCAAAGCAAGAGTATCCTTTTCTGGTTATGGACCTGTTTTACACTGAGTTGATGAAAACAGCCTAGAAAAGATTTCTCATTTTAAAGCTTGCCAAAAGCATGTGTTTGAGATCTGCTGCAAAAAGTCAGAAAAAAAACCCTGGTTTGATAAATGAGGTTTTGTTTGTTTCATGAGCATTTGTATTCCGATATTTATTGATACTAAGTAATAAGTCTGTCCTTAACCGACATTATCAGTGCCAAGTACGACCTCTTGCTGAACGAGGAAGTGGAAGAATCTGAAACAAGTCATTCGCACTCGGCTAAAAAGCAAAAGAAGAAAAAGCACCACCACTCTGAAGATGAAGAGGATGACAAGAGGACCAGAAAATCTAAGGTGCCAGCCTTATCTTGCATTAATGACATGACATCATACCAGCTGAGCTGAGGCTGAGCTTAGTATCTCTTTGTGAAGGAGATTGTCCAAATCTTCCTGGACTTCTGAAGCTTAGCATGCCTGTCTGGCCTTCTGTTGAAACATCCTGAACAGGCAGTGTAGCCTCTCATAAAGTAGGAAATCTTCACCACTTGGAACCTGTTGCTCACATATTTCCAGTTATAAACCAGGAAGTAATCATATTTCACAAATGCAGAAACTGCCGGCTTTCTCCARTGTCAAATCAGAAACACAGTCCATTTGCATTATGTGTTTATTTTTTGCCAGCTGTTTTGGAAGTGCTTTATGTAAAATCTACAGGCGGATTTGCTTTCRCCTGAATTGTTCAGGCACACAGGTYGCAGGCCTGGGGCTGTGCGGAGATCACCAGCAGACAACAGTTTTGTCATTCATTTCTTCCCTAGCAGTGAGTTAGAGCAGAGCTTTCAGGTTTCTGTGAGCTTGAGATAGTCACGGTGTTGATGTTTCATGGGAACAGGAAAACTCTAGGAATAACGTGGAGCTTAACTACCACTGGAGTTTGAGCAGTAGGGAGAACCACACTCATAAGGAAGACCAAAAAAAAAATCCAGTATTTTCACAATACAACCCTTGGTTATGGATGAGAAAAAAATGTTTTCAGTTTGCAGGAACTGTGATAAAATTCCAGCTGCACTAAATAAAATCCTGGCGTTAGTTCCGAGTGTGCTTTCGGCAACRAGTACAGAGCACGTACGTGATGCTGTTGTTCCATTTCATCACTTCTTGCAGTGAGGCTAAAAAGTGGCTTTTCCCATGCACATTAACAGCTAGTTTTTTTCAGTGCCACCAGGGAGCCCTGCTGTTCATTTATGAGGTGATTCTTGTTGCCACTSCAAGCACTGTTGCTGCTTATAAAGTGGTTCACATGTGAACATTTAGGTGGGTGGGGAGTACCTTTTCAGGTGGGTAGGCAGCAGCCTGGCACCTGCGTGCAGGATGTGAGAATTAGGAGCGCTTCAGATTCTTTTCCATCTTTTTGGCTACTCATGTTGTGGTTTTTAACATTCCTGTGACAGATGCTTCGATAGGTCTGAATGTAATCTGTGCTCTTGAGSGTTCAGCAGTTGCACATGTGGAACTGGCTGGTCTTGTGTTATCAGCAGAGAAGACTTAAATTATTCAAGTATCTCTGCCTCTGCAGGGGATAGGAGAAGTGCTAGCAGCAAGAGAGTGCCTACCCCTGTGTGGCCAAATCATTACAAGGGGSCTCTGACACACACTGGCAGGGGATTTCATAGTGCTAAAGTAGGAMACCAGAAGATCTCTGATGCTTTTTCCAGGATCTGGAGCAGGATGTTTTCTGGTGCTTCATTCTGCTGCCTCTTCAGCGTCTTAACCCATCATTTTAGTACTTAGTCACCTGTTCCTGTTCCGACTTGTGCCTGCTTGCTGTTGCTGTAGTCTGCTATGCTCTTCCCTGCAGCTCTCCTCTCCCTTGCTCCGTGTTTCGGGGTAAATAGGTTAGCCCTCTTTATGCTCTGGATCATAGGTAGTGACTTCTTTTCTCTGCTGGCAAGCAGCCAGCTCGCTCTTGGGACTGTGGAAAGAAATTCCTGGGAAGCACCTTGCTCTGCTTGAGATTATTCTTGAAGATCCTGAGTGTGTGTTACTGGTCTGYGCTCAGCCTGTTTTAGGGGACTACTAAGTGGGCACAGCCTTGCCAGATGAAATCTGCAGGCACCGTAGCTGTCAGATCCTTYGTTAGCTTTTATAAAATGGGTTGTTTTGTTTGTTGGCCTATTTAAAGATACTTAATTTGGGGAGCGCTCATGGGAATAGTAGAAGGAGGCAGGGCCTGTTCAGTGGGGATGCCGAAGTCACTGCAAAGCATAGCTGAGTGGAAACTTTTTGATGAATGGCAGCATTTTTAGCTTGGCCAGGTGTTTCCCTTACCACTGTTTTGGAAATAGTAGTATTTGAGATACTTGAAAACAAAATGATATCAAAACCCAGCACAGTTGTCACAGTGGCCACACTGAACTTCTGTCCTTAGCCCATAGCATAGAGAGATTTTAATTAACCGAGAAGAGGGTCTTACAGTGGGAAGTTCTGGCCACTGAAGCCGCAGTTGATGGTACCAGCTCCAGGGATGACTGGAGAAAAGGGGATTTTATTCTCCAAATAGTCCATGGGGTTGAGTTGTTTTTGTGTTTTCTTTTGTCTATATATGKTTTTTAATTCAGTGTATTTTGACTCATCCGTTTCTTAGTCTGACACCAGTTTCCTGGCTCTTCAGCTTCTGTGCTGCACATTAAGAATTTGGTTTTGACTCTTGTGCTTCTTCCTGGGGCTCCAGAGAGCAGAAGAATCAACCTGTTGCAGCTTGCAACAGCTGCAGTAGGCAACGGGATGTGAGTCTGGAGCAAGAGGCTTCCTACCGTTGTGAAGAGGATCTGGCAGGGCATTTCGAATATAGTCTGGCTTCTGTGCGGTCTGTGTTGTGACATTGTTTCCTTTCTGGTTCTCTATGTTTTTGAATTCTACGGATTTTGTTAMAATAAGTGGATTTGTGGAGGATGACCTTTCATTGCTATGGGGTCTACTGACCTTGAGTTTTCTGTAGTTAACGGTTTTAGCAAATATATGTTGGCTCTTCTGTTTTCAGTCTCCTGTTCTTACTGCTTATGGGAGACTGTTCCCTTTGTATTGAAGGTCATGTTTGATCAAAGTGCTCCCTCCARGAAGGCTGCTTGTTTACTCCTTTTAACCTTTACCTGGTGTGCCTTGTGGAGGTAGAGGTGCCTTATTTACTCAGCCGGTGCGGTCCTGGTGCTTCCACCTGCTTTGCAGCAGTTGTGCACCTGCAAGTGCGCTTGAAAAAGGRACTGCTTTTGGCAGAGTCAGCCATGAACGTTGAGAGCTGCCCTCTCCCCTTCTTCCATTTCCTTCGCTCCACTTCTTTGGACGGGAAATAGTGTGTTGYTGACCTAGGCCATGAGAGACTTAATTTAAAAATACTGTTATTATTGTTACTAACTTGGAGTGTTTGAGAAGTTGGACCTTTCTCTGTTTCAGTAAGACTTAAATGAGATTTAATCTTTCAAAAMATGTAAATGATTATTTATTTACTAGAACTTAGATACAGTTCATTCTATTGCTGCATCTTTACTTTCCACTGTACTACATTTTAACTTTAGACTGTGATCTTACCAGCTACCGTACCAACATTTTTGTGGCGCTGCCCGCTTCAGACTTGCCTTGCACGTCTCTGCCTTAATTGCCTCTCTGGAGGGTCTCTCAAGAGCTTAGTTGTCTCCGTGCTCGTGTGGCCTTTGGGGAATCTTTTCAGAGTTACCCCCTGGTAACCCTGAAAACTGTTTTTTTTTTGTTATTTTAGCATATGGGGTTGGGGCTGATGAGGCTTTTGGGTACAATAGTAATATATTTGGCTTCTAGTAAATTAGTTGCTCTTTGAAATAGAGGAATTTGTGCAGCGCTTTGGAGGTGGATGAAGCTCTTAAGTGCCAGAATCATCACTCTTTTTTGATGGATTCCGGTTTTGAAATCTGTAGTGAAATAGCACGTGACAGTAAGGTCATGTAGTAAGTGTTTGGCCACAGAAGAGGGGTTGCTGTAGTTGATGGTAGCAGAAGTATTTGGTTGTGTAGATAGGGATCAAATCTGTGGTTCTCAGGGTGTCTGTGTTGGTCCTGGTGGTTTGCTTGCTCTGTTTGGGGTAGGGTGCTCACCCTTCTTTTAAATAAATCAAGCTTGCTTGTTTGCACACGCAGTAAAAGTTGCAGCTATACAAATGTGAATGCCACTCTCAGGAGCATAGATCTAGAAAATTTTATCCGCAACTAAGAAATACTATATAATCTAACCCAGATGTAGTTCATAATGATCTCCACGTACTCAGTAGTTGTCATTAAAATACCTCCAAAGATGGTATCTATCTGTTAGGGGATATAGTGATCCCCAGCTTTCAGGTGGTTGTCTCTTCAAAATGAAGGGGTCTGCCAGTTTCTGAGCAGCAAGCTGGGCGTGTAGCTTTCTGTAGGATCAGGAAGCCCCCTCTTTTTTTATCTTACRTCTGTRTAATGTCTWAGTTTATTTTAAAATAGTTTTTAGCAGTACTTAACAATGTCAGGAGTCGGCATAAGCTCAGGGATGTTTCTAAGAAAATGATTTTGAGATCTTGTTTGGTTCCTTGCCTGTCCAGATGAAATAGAAATTTTCTAGATGATCTTTGTGTTTTTACATTTTGAACTGCCRTGACGCTGTGGCCTGTGTGGGTGCTGGTTTCTCCACATCATCATTGTAGCAGGGACTGTGTCATAATCGTGTGCCACTGTGATGCTTCATTAGCTGAGCTATTMAGCTCTCTCCTTCATTTGTTAATACACCATCTCAGTGCTTTTGTACCACTCAGTTCCTGTAATAAGTATGTGTTCTAGCAACAGAAACATCTCCTTTATTGTATAACCTTAATTTCTCTCCAGAAGAACCCCCTTTTGTGCTGTGAACCATTTAGTCACATTGGTTCTGCCTTCCCCTTTGTCTGTAACTGTGTATCCATGCTCTCCTTTCACAGGATCCAGATCGCAAACACGAAGGAGAGCGCTGCAAAGAGAGGAAGAGGAGTGAGAGGAAGGACAGGCACCGCAGCCGCAGCCGGTCCCCGGAGAGGCACCACTCTTCCAGCAGACACAAGGACAGATACAAGGACGACTGCCGAGACAGAGACTGGGATAAAAAGGCAGACAGGAGCAGAAGTCCCAAGAAGTCAAAAGACAAAGAGAGGTCCCGGTACAGCTGAAAGAGGCTGGAGAGAGACATTACAGCAGCRCTTCTCTCTGCGTTCCCGGGAAGCTCTCAAGTGAGAGGGTGGATCAGAGCAGCCTTATTCCATAGCAGCGTGGCCTATGGCCCTGTGCCAGCCCAGCGTGTGACTGTTGGAGTAAAGCTGGGGTCCCCAAAGAGCGTCTCAATAAAGTGTTTCACGTTGGTGAAATGATTTGGATCTTTGATAGGAAGTGTCACCTCAAGCTTTCCGGAAGCGTGAGCGTGTGTCATCAAGTGAATTGCCCTCCTCCACCGAAGAGATTTGCAGGGCGTACGTCCTGTCTGCAGAGAGGTGTTGAGATTCCCCATTACGTCGTGTAGATCCTGCCGCACGCTCAGATGCAGCGGTAAAAAAYGTGATGAAAGAAAGGGGAGAACAGCAGCGTCTTGTGCAGAGGCAGCGCCCAGGCCGAGCGGGTGCCATTCACTCCTGGAAGCTCCCGCGGCGCGAGCTCCGCTGGCCGGTCCATGCCCATCGGCACTCGCCACGGAGCACAGGGAACAGCTTGCCAGGGAGCACGGAAAGGGCCCCGTGAGGAGCAGCTGCCCCCGACCTGCTCCCCTCGGCACGCCGCCGGTGTGGGGGGCCCGCAGATGGATGGCCTGGAGATCCTGGTGGAGATCCCGCTGCCTTGATGGTGTCACAGGCAGRGCACGTGTGGCGGGGTGAGAGGAACGTGGCCCCGGCCATGAAGAGTCCTAGTAGCAAAGCAGGGTTTGTAGCTTCCCTCGTGCCTGTGAAATCCACGCTGGGGTCGGTTTCCAGGTGCAGTAGCGGAAGCAGCTCAGTTAACTCCCTACCTGTAAAGGAGCGCAGGTGAGAGCAGGTCCGTAATGTCTTAAATATCTAGCCTACTGCAAAAAAAGCCCAAGGAATAGTCATCAAATAGTATTATTCCATGTGCATATATTTTAAAAACATGAATGGGATARCCTCCAGAGGAGGGGAGGAGATCCTTGTGTACTGATAGGAGGGGAAGCGAGGTCGTGGAAGAGCAGCATTCATCTTCCCCTTAGTGAAGCCACCGCTGCTGTTTTGAGGCCCTCTGCTTGGTAGATGAATTCATTTTTGATTCTGTGATGATGGTTTTGCTGCAGCATTTGTTGTAGATATGTTTTAGTGAAGCTGTAGGGCTTGGTAACTGCCCTTTGGTAACAGGTAACACTGGTTACCTGTTCAGGTAACACTGAAGCTGAAGGCAGTTCCAGGAGCTTTCTGAAGGCTGAACAGTAGCTTGAAACTTGCTTACGACTTTCTCCTTTTGAAAGGTACTTTCTATATAAACTTGATGGAAAGCACTTGAGTAATAGCAATATTTTTTATATATAAAAGGCAGAATAGGTATTAAGCAAAAACAAGATGGGTTTTTGCTGCCGGATCTTAAGGTGGGATTGTAATTTTCCAAGGAGCAAAAGAAGTTGCCGTTGCCTGTGCTGCTCCGATAGAGACCTCAGCAGCTGTGGTTCTGTGCTCGGGACAGATGCTCCCTCGTTCGCTGCAAGGCCTGGGGATGCCAGAGCAGTACCCGGGAGAGGAAAGCGCCCATCGCCTGCAGTGCGTTAGTGCTGGCAGTTTTCCGAGGCGAAGGACAAGYGGTGCCCTCCCCAGCCGGGACAGACCTTCGCCGGCCTCTGATTTTTCTGCTCTTTGGCTGCCGCTGCAGCGGCTGCTGCTGCCTCGAGGAGCGCGTGTGCTCCCGCGCCAGCGCCGCAGGGAGGCACGAGGGCGGCCCGGCGCGCGGCAGCAGCCGCCTCCTGCTGGGAAACGGCCGCTTCAGGGGGAATAGCACGTTTTATCCTGTGAATAACATGTTTTTTAACTTTTTTTTCCATTCTTTGTACCAAGGCTTGATTAGCTCCAGCATTCAGGTGCTCTTTACAAAATCCTTCACACTGCAGCATATTCTCTTAGGTTCAGCTCAGTGATGATCCCAAGCCCAAGCTGATCCTGGCTCTCTCGTGGTCACCAGCACGCTGACCCTTTGGTGGTGTTGTGTTTTGGAAAAGGTGACTCAGGGCTAGTAACTCACGTATGAGTGACATTATCACATGATGCTTCTTTTTTAATACCAACTTTGGCCTTTTTCCCTCTGGAAGCCCCCAGCAGCTTAGTTTACTTAAAGAAGCTTGAGGACATAATAAGTCGAATGGATTTTGTTCATGGGGGYAATCAGCTCCACCAAGAAATTTTAATAATAGAGGTGTGAAGTTTATGACTTCTCTTTACTAAAAAGAAAAAAAAAGAGTCTTATTTTTCTACTAATTATAGCCATTATACTAAGTTTCCTAGTTCAGACTAGTAAATTTTGGATCATGAGAGCAGCTCAGTCTGTAAGTTATCTACAGCATAATACCTGAAGATTAGGATGACATTAAAACCATGCAACAAGTGCCCCATAAATTGCTGTGAAAAGCATTTCAGTGCTACAGGCATCTTCATTTGCCCTGAAATAGGTTTTGTCCTGCTTGTTTTTTCATCGCATTAAACCGTTTCTGCAGTGGGTGCCTGCATTGTGAGTAGGCACAATGACTGACTGCTGCTGCCCGGGGGCAAACACGCACAAAGCAGCCTGCAAAAAACACCTTCCGCTGCCTCCAGCTGACCTGCGGCGCTCACGGGCTTGCAAAGGCAACGTCCAGGGAACGTAAGCACAGCCGTGGAGATGAAGGGAACCACACACTTCACCGACCTTTTTTTACATCCAATATATACATTRCATGTCTCAATACAGAAAGCATTGGAATACACAGTAATGCCAGTACTTACTACAGTGTCCTCAGCTTGAAGGASACTCAGGATTTGGTTTGGGGCTGTAGCAACCCCTGTGTAAGGGAAGGAAGAGGTGGTTTTGTCAAAGACATGGGGAAAGGCAGCTGCTCTTGGTGGTGCCTCTTCTGGGATGCGCTTGAGTCCAGATCTTGCTGCCAAGCTGGAAATTAATCCCTAAGTGCCAAGAGACACTTCTGGACTTAAACAGCCCATGTTTGGTTTTGGTTGTCAGGACGCTTTTGCCCTTCAGGAGATTGAAGGAATGGGAACAACCCTCTAGAAGATGGACTCTTCCTTGCAAAATTGCCAAATAAATCTCAAGATTAAATATATACACATATACATACATACACACACACACGCATATATAAAATACCCTCTTCCCTTCCCTGTTCTCTCCCCAAAGTTAGGAAGCCACAGAGGCAAATGGGATGCAAGAATTTCGCTGAAGCAGCAGGGGCAGAAGTCACCTGTGCAACAGCTCTTCCTCCAATGTTAAAATAAAGGCAAATGAAAATAAAGGCAGAGTCTTCTGACAGCTACACCAGCACAGCCCTGTAGAGCAGCCTGCTATACTGCTGCACKGAGCTGCCTAAATAATACATATATACATATGTATAAAATATACACCTCCCTCAGAGACCGTTGATGACAAGCCATCTAATAATGTGGTGAACTTGGCTGCCCTAGCAGTTAACGCCACAAGAAACTCTGTGGAGCAGGTCATTTTGCCCTGCGTGTGCATCAAATGCACTGTATTTGGAGCAATTTTGTCAAAACTCCCCACAGAAAATTGAATAATTTGGAAGMGAGTTACTGAGCTAATCATACGCATTTAAATAAGACAGGCTTCGTGGTCTCTTTACTGCTTGGATTGCTAGGGGAAAAACAAAAAGCAAAGTCATCCTTATGCTCTACAGAAAAACCGCAAAAAATAATCTTGGGAAAACCTTAAGCAGAAACCACTCGTCCCTTGGGCACAGGCCCTTTACGTCCCCGTGCCATGCCGCGGGCACTGCCTTTCACGCGCTGCGGGGCCTCTCCCGGCCACACATCACAGCATCCCTGCTTCCTTCCTCGGGCGGTAATGGACTCGCCCCGCAGCCTACACATCCTGTACACCCCTCGCTCTTGTGGTACTCACTCACCTCAGATGTGACGGCTGGGCTGAAATTTTGGCATGAGAAGAACTCTTTGGAGTGAGAGCCACTCACTTGTCTTGCTCCGGCTCGGGGGAATTCTTCCGTGAGACCCCACTGTGCCGCCTCAGCAGCCCAAACCCGTTYACAGGAACGCCTCTCCTCCGGATTGCCCTTTGCGAGGGGCCGGATTCCCCTTGCCCAGAGGAGAGGGCAGCGCCGGGAGCGCCGCACAAGSGAGAGCGCCGCGGCCGCCCGGCTGTCGCCGCCGCAGCAGCCGTGGGGAGGGCCGCCGCGCTCGTGGCGTTGCTGCCACCCGGTTAGACCCGGTCTTGCTAACGGCAGGCGGCACCTTCGCCCTGGCAGGGGCCTCCTTAAGCTGGGCTGTCAGATTTGTCATCGTGTCAAATGCAACAACTGCCACCACGGCGCGCTGYCGCGCTCAGCGCGAACACGGACGGCACCCGGCGGCGAGTTACTGTCCAGGTAAAACACGGTTTTACCGGGGGAAAATGGAAGCCTTGTATGTGTCAGTGACAGAGCTGTTGGGTAAATATGAACTGTACGGTAAGACTAAGCACTAACCAACATTTACCAAGTAAGGTAGAAAAAGCGCAAAGGCAACCAAGGGCTTTACCACTTCAAATGGTAGAAYGTGCTCCATAAATCACAGCAGATTGTGCAGCTTCAGGGAAAGCGAGTACAGAAAGCCCACGACAGCCCGGCAAAAGGGAAGGCCCTTCCGACCAGTGCCCCAAAACCAGCGCTGAAGAAACTGCACGAGGGATGCTCACGAGCATGGTTTGTTATTGCCAAAAAACACATAGCCATTGGCAGATGACTGTAAACGTTACTCAAAACTATCATCGGAATGAGAAATACTAAGTTCTCCCCACAGGAGGTCCTGTTAGGAAGAGACTAAAGGGACTACAGAAGCTTGTAAAAATGTTATTTCCAGCAGGGAAACATTCTCGGATAAGAACTTCAGCATCTGAATATCCTTTTGCTCATAATGACTAATTCTGTAACATATGACATATGGTGGATTTGGAGCCTTGGGTTCATTTAAAAAAGCAGATGGAAGAACTTTAAATGCTTAGAGCATCTTTCT